AAATGATAAAGCACATGTAAGCCCTCACATTGTTTTTCTACTGTCTTGGTGTTTTGAATAGTAGCTAATGATATTTGCAAAGCTTCTTGCTGTTACACAGGTTTGTTCCATTCCAATGAGGGACACCCTTTGCTTCTTGCTGGGTGTTCAGAAACAATGGACCAGTCACAAAAGGATTTTGCTTTAGCAGTTGTTTCTGTTGGCTGGGCCACTTCTGATAGCATCTCCACCTGCTGTGTACAAAGAGTGCTTGAGCTGAGGGCTTTAATGTCTTGCATGGTCAATGTTTTGTTTTAAAGGGTGTAGTAGTTTATTTTTGGAAGGAACTCTGAGGAGCGGCCACATAGCATTGAACTCCCCTATCCTGTTTATCACCTCCAAGTCCAGTCCTTCTCCCAGAATGGGTTTTCAAGATGCAGCACTGTGCTGAACTCTAAGGGAAGATTTGGCAGTGAGTTTTCTGCTTTTGGCAAAGTGTTAGTTGGCACAGGAGTTTGAAAAATGCTTGGGAATAAACTACTTAGGCTAATTCACACCTAGAATAATCTCACACACAAGTGGAGTTCCTTTACAAGTGAATTTGTTCTATTTTCCCCACGTGTTATCTTAAATCTGCTGGAACACAACTTCCATAGCCACCATTGAAAGGCTGATTAAGTCCAGAATGGCTAATACACTAATGGATAATGTTTTCCTAGCTGAAAGCATTGTTTAAAAAGTCAAATTTCTGAGTTTTCTTGTCCTATGTATCTTGTCCTCTGTTGCTTGTGCTCTTGAAAGAGTCCCCCACTGGGTCTTTTCTGCATTGCAGCCAATGTATGAGAAGAAAGTAGAAAGAAATTATTACTTAAGAGACTTGTCTAAGACAGATGGATGGAAACCAGCAATCCTAACTTGCAGGCTCTTTGAGTTCCAAATAATCTAATTTAGCTGTCTGAGGATAATTTTGCTAGACTTCCAGTTGAGTGTTCCAGAAGCATGACTAGACTGATGGAGCAAGAGCTCTGATGTGCCTAAATGCATTACTTGTATAGCTGCTTGATGGAATACTGATAAGCAAGGCTGCAGCAGCCCCATGTGCTTATATCTGTTGACTTTAAAGGGACATGAGGTCCTTCTTCTCAAGTGTTCTTGAACTGGTGTCTGACTACTCCAGTACTTCCAAGACAGTTGTATCCAAGTCAAGACTACTAAGAAAACTCAAACTGAGCAAAGCCTCACAACCAGGCTTGATTAAGGGGAGGAGTTGAATGTTCATATTTAAGTGATGGGCATGAGACAAGGAGTACAGAAGACTGTAGTGTGTTTCCTATTGCTTAAATACATCTTTAAAAACATTACCAAAATCGCCTATCACTTTGACTAATTAATAGTAATAGGCAAGCTTTTTTGTTTAGTGTGTCATATAGCCTAAGATAACACGGCTCCTCTTCGTACAGGATGCTACAAATGCTTATCTACAGGGCTTGAAATGAATTCTCATCTTTTAGAAGAAAGCCGCGAATTTAAATCATGTTCTGTTTCCCTTCTGCAGAAGATTTCAGCATATGCATCTCAAGTGGTAGTTGAGCAAAGAGCTTTGTGCCAGCCCATGGAACAGTGAGCAGATTAGCAAGGTTCTGAATTAATTGGAAATACCAGCTTCCTGGAAGACTTGAATCATACAAGACTTGCTTTTTCAAATGTAATTAAGTGCTGAATGTGGATGGAAATAGAGCTGGAAACGAGGTTATGGGTGCAGTAAACACACTAATATCTCAGATTTTTTTGGCAAACTGTGCTAAACTTGTCTATGCAAAATTTGTCAGTTCATACCTTTTTCTAAAAGCTATATAAAGAGTGGCTGACCCGTTATTCCAGAAGCTGGGACCAGAGGAGTTGTTGCTGTCCAGGCCTTGCTAACTTTTCCAGCTCCATTTCCTCTAGCAGGAGCTGAGGAAGGAACAGCTTCAATTGCCTTATGCTACAAAAGGATTCCCTCTCAGAGGAGAAATACCTTGCTGAGTGGATTCATCAGGTTTTGAGCCTGCTTCGTGCAGAGTGTCGCACGTAGGGCAGCTTTAACAGCTACAGAATTCAGTGTTTCACAGATAAGGGTAGATATAGAACAGATGCTTTCTGAAAAGTGATGTTAGGATACCTTTTCTGATGTTCACTTCTCATGGATCTCAGTACATATTCTTGTGTGTTCTGTTAGGCACTGTATATGTGACTTGTAATTCTCTCAAGTTAACCCCTAGCTGTGAGAATTCTGTGTCTTGTAAATAGTACCATCCGTGTCAGTAATGCTCTACTATCCTCCAGTGAGGATTTACCCTCATGAGTACTATGTGAATCTGTAACCTCTTCCTGAAGGTCATCAAAATGTAAACAATCTTATTCCATAACCTAAAGTATTGTCTTTGCCTTCTCTAGCTCCTCTGTGACTCTCTTATTCCTAACAGTGGCACAAGTAGCTATGCACAATGCACACTTAGGTATTTCACCTTAGTCTCTCCTTCCATCAATCTCAGTGATCTCTTCTTTATTAAAGACAAATAATATTGACTGGGTCTGTCTCACAAAGAGTTAGAAAGACTAGTGGCAGAAATTAAATGCAGAAGTAGTTGCTTTTTCTTCAAGAGGTCAATTTGACTTGTTAGTGAGGAGCCTCTAGCAGTACCTCTACATCCTTGCTCTTTGGGTGCAAATTAGAAATGTAATGAAAATAGGATATTTATGCATATTGGAAAATGCTTTAACAAGTCCAGGGGTTCTAGAAGACTGGTCAGAGCAAGTGAAATATGTTGTGCTAAGTGCTGTGAATTTAGTGTGTGTTTTGAACAGTGAACACTTGGAGTGTTTGAATACACACCACGTAGATAGAAACAATCATCAATTTTCTGTTCCTTTTAATGAAATACTGTGGCATCTCTCCCATCCAATACTGCAGGAGTTTCCTTTTCCTGCTGGAGGTTGTCTTGTTCCTTAAACAGCATTTACTTAAGCATGGAGAATTCTTTCATGTTTCTGTAGACTTTGCTTGGAAAGCAGTAGTAAAACCTCAGTGCAAGCCACAAAATTATTGTAGTAGTAAAATGTAATATGATGCTCACACATTTTCTGGTAATTGATTTCTGTAAGCTTTTATAAAACACTTAGTAATGTAGATCAATCCGTGCTAGTGACAGCTCATGTGGCTATAGAAAGTGCACAATGAATGAAGTCCTGAACACTAGCACTTAGTTGAAACTGTACTGGCCTTGCAGAATGTTTCTGGTGGCTTCATTTGAGAGATTCTGTGCCAGGCCAGGTCCATCTTGAAGGTCATTAGGACAGTAGTTTTCATCCTATTCTGTTTCCTCTGAACTATGGAAAAGAAATGAGCATGGAGCAAAGAGACTTGCCTGTAACTAAGATGCAAGGCAGTGACAACAGGTCACTGTTGGTGGTGGGAGGAATGCAGTGAATCACCACTCCTGCTAGCTTATCCTCAACATCCTTCATGAGTGGAAGGGAGCAGATGGCATTGCTTCACAAACACTGCCCCATTTCCAGAGCCAGGCAGCTGAAGCAGAACGAGGCAACATTTGGCTAACGCTGCTGCAGGAGCCTGCACCAACAGTACAGGCAAGCTCCCAACACACCCATTTGAAAGGCAGGTAGGTGTTGCTTTTGCAGCCTTTATTTTGAGCTGTGTCTGTGCTAGCAAAAGAGAAAGGCTTGTTTCTCTTTTAAAATAGCCCAGCTAGGACGCCAGGGATTATTATCACCAGGGTATCTGTGATTATTTTCATATCAGTGTTGCTAAAGGCAACACAGGACAAATTGCCTATGGTTTGAACTCTTACCATTGTTGAACAGACCCAGGGTCATCTTTGCTGGGGAAAGCCATTCTCTGCAGTCTCCTGGGACACTGTGCAATAGGAAGAGATTTGGTCTCTGGAATTCCCATAAAAGAGATTTGGCTGACACCTCTTCATCAATGCCAGCAGTCTCATGCTGCAGTGATTTACTGCTTTGAAATCTTCAGATGATTTTAAGCTGAGATTGCATGTATTTATTAGCAAAATTATATAAATGGTAGTGGAAAAAATCATGGCATCTATGCTATGACTTTAATTACTGTTGAGATTGCTTATGTGTGGACTGATTCCTAGAGGATCTATAAATAGTACAGTTCTCAATGGGATAGAGCTGATTTGGAGTCCCTAGCTTTTGCTTGGTGTTGTCTGGAAGACACTGGACTGTACCATTTCTGTTGGAGAGGAGATCTCTGGTGCCTCTGTTGGCCATAGCCCTAGAAGCTGAGACATGTAGCAGACCCCTGAGTGGCTGCAAGAAGCATTCACTAAGAGGAAAACCTAGATTCTTCCAGACCAGTACCATCCACTTAGATGCACTTGAACCTCCACTGTGCAGCCTCCCCTCCAGAACGGTGCTGCAGCATCGACATCACACCAGAGATGCACTGACTTGGGAGACAGGTTTCCTTCCTGTGCTGGTTCTGACACAGATTGTGAGAGCTCATTCAAGCCCTACTGTTCTCATTCAGGTTGGGAAATTCACATAAACTTGTAACAAATGCAAGTTTGCACAGAACCAGCAGCTGGAGAGTAAGATTTTTGTTGGATGCTATGCTAAGTGTGGATCAGCACAAAGCAAATAGATTTGTCCTTCATCTGCCCTTTTTTTGTAATTACATGTAAAGGAAGTTCGTGCTTATTGTGAGAAGTCATGTGCAAGATAGGACAGCTAAAAGCAATTACTCTTTCACCTGTACAGTCCAGTCTTTAGGTGGTATTTGGGATATAAAAACATTGCATAACACCCCCCTTTCCCACTCCTGTTATGTTTGACAGACTTACAGTCTTTGTGTAGTAATTATCTGAGTGAAAACAAGTTATGCATCTGGGAGATAAGGGGGTGTGGTAATGTGCTACTCTTTGCCTTTGATATATAACTTTAACATTAGTTTCAAACATGAGTGGGTGAAAATAGGTTTGCGCTTTTTTTCCTAGGTTTTTCCTCAGCATTTACCGTAAATCCAAAGATGGTTCTCTGAGACATACACTCTGCTTTGTGATCAAATGACATCTCTGGGAAAACTTCAGTGTTCTCCTTATGCTACAGCTTTACATAAAGTGACCTGAAGGCTGTGACAAGGAAATACTGCACTCTGACACCACCAGCCAGGGCTTCTGATGCTAAGAGAAATTAATTCCTGAGGTATGTTTTAGCAGCTGCCTTGAAACAGAAGAATCTGTCAACAGGATACTGTGTGAGATGAAGCTTTAGCCATGGGGGCGTGGAGAGAAGAAAAACATGTCCACCCAATTTTTACAAAGGTGGAATAAATTTCAACCAGCACTATGCAGAGGCAGGAGTTGAATCAGAGAAGGCCTTTCCTATTGTCACCCAGAAGGCAGTGACAGATCAGCTTCATTTTCTCATTCCATGTTAGCTGTGCTGAACCCATCCTTGGTTTGTTTTGTAGCTATTTAGTTACATAATCAGGGAATCCAGAATATCATTGAGCTCCAACTAAGTAATTCTTCTTTGTCAGAAAAATGAAAGAAATGAAAGAAATTGCTGAAAATGGCTCCACTGATGTTAGAGTTGGAAGAAAAGAAAGCTAACATTTGAATGAATCCTCATCCCTGATATATTTAAATTGAAATCCATGTAACTTAAAAACTGTTTTCAAAAATGCTGCATACTGCAGACATTCAGCATTTGTGAGGGAAAAAGTACAGACACAAGAAAATTCAAATTGGGCACCTGCAGTCAGCAATCACTTAAAACAATTTTACTGTCTTTGCTGCTCTCCTCCTTATCCTTGCTGCTTTTCCTTACATAGTACAGCTCTGTTCTGAGCTACCATGCTACTGCATTCCTAATGTCATGTAAAAAATGCTACAGGACATGTTTCTACCTCACCAGATTTAATTTATTTGACATTTATGTCACAAATATACTTGATTAGTGCATTCAGGGTGTCAGCTTTATATAAACATCTCTCATTTTAATACTTTATGGAAAGCTGTGAGTGTTGTAAAATACCTCAGTCACCAGCACTCATTTTTGGAAAACACAGCCATTGAATTATCCTGGTGTACAGTTTTTGAGAAAGAGAGGCCATTATGAGTCATGCTTTTTGCAAAATAAAGTTATGATCACATTTGGTTACAGTTTTCATTCCACCTGTATGTGCTGGCCTGCAGCTTAGCCAAACCAGAGCCTGCATGTCTTGAGGTTCATGATCAGAGGTCTTAATAGACAACTATTTTGTTAGTGGAGAATTCCATCTTATTTATATTTACAATGGAAATTATCCCTAGTGTATAAATATAGTGATGTGCAGAAAATTTGGTTTAAAAATCTGCTTTTTAGGAAGTAGAGCAGCAGTACTTTCAGAATTAATCAAAATTTTCTGATTTACTGATGAGCTTTAACAGATTGAAGAGCAGACATACGAATTATTAGACTAGTCTGATATGTTACTAGGAGTGTTAAATAATAATATAATAATATTAATAGTAATAATATAACATAATATATTAAATGATGCTATCACCATGCTGCATAACACTTCCCATTAAATGTACTTCTGCTAGTGACAGCCCCACCTTTTCATGGCTTAGTAGCTTTGGATAAACACACATTCTGCAACTGTGTCCAGACCTTTTCATGAAGTAACAGAACTGGTTTGCCAAGACTTTTCACGTGGTTTAGATGGCTTTAATTTCCTTGTTTCTGTCAGGGATAGAGCAAGAAAGTGACATTTGAATTTTGTAAGCTTTTGGTGAGATTTGGGTCAGGATTTTGTGGACATTATCAACCATGACATTAGCTGCTTTTTGATCCAAATAAAAGAACTCTGCTCTCAAATGATCCCTGGATTTTTTTTAGTCTACAACTGGAAAAAGCATTAGCCATATCCAAACTTCTGTCTGACACAAACTCAAAATAGCTGAGGGAGGTAGATTGCATGAGAAGTTTTGGTCTTGTTCCAGCTTGTCTATGAACCTTGCACAGCATTTGTGAAGTGCTCAGCATCAGTCCAGACACACCAAGTGGAAGAAGGATCTCGTGTGTTCCCTGACATTCCTGCTCTGTCTCCTGGGTATGGAGAGCAGCCTGTGGCTTGGCACTTTCCTGTGCTTGCTTCCTCCTACTTGCAACAGACCAATGCAATGATCTGTAGCTCATAAGTCCTGAAGTTAGGCTTGGTCATTAAGTAACAACACCAGGTACCTGTGAGGAAGAGTCCTTCTAACCAGGTCACTAATGGTTAGGCACTTTCTCTTCTCTGTTTCAGTCTGTTGTTGGGTTTTTCTTCAGTAACCTTGTACACTTGTATGCATTTCAAGTGCAATGAGATTGTTTGAATTTTTTTCTTTGAACAGTAGCACTCCACTCAGGCTCTTAACAGCCACCTTCCAAAGTCAGATACATGCCCAGAATCTTTCTCTTGCAAAGGAAGGGCTGGTTCTGTATATTAGCATAACTAATATTGAAAGAAGTCAATGGCTAGTGTGTGGCTCCTAAATCTGTAATATTTTATGTCCGGATACTTGCCTTCAATGCATGTCACTAAGGAAGGTGTGAGATTTCTCTCTGCTTTCCTAGAAATTTAAGGAAATTGGTGAATAGTTTTGGGTTTGTGAGATTTTTTTGCCCTCTTCTTTCTCTTCTTATATACAGATAAATTGAATAATGGTTTTCAAGTTCTTCAATAATTAAATTGTCTGTGCAAGAGCTCTCTTCTTTCAGTCACTTCCAGATGCCAATGAAAGCCATGGACTCTGTAAGAACCTCAACAGGGTGGGATCCAGGTTTGCAAATTTGTTCTAGAATGATGCTTATTTGGACTCCTCAGCTTGTTCTTTGTCTGAACATGTCCATCTCTTACTCAAGACTGTGTTATTCTCTATAGTTACGTTAATAGCAAGTTAAATGGCATATTCAGATGTTTGTGTCAGAAGGTCAGAGAAGGTAAATCTACAGGGAATGATGGAGTGTTTCTGTCAAAGGCTTAAGAAACACAGTACAGAAGCTTGTCTGTTTTTTCTCACCTGTATCAGTTAATTTAGGAAGAGCTATTACCTTTGCCTACAAAATTTGCCTTTGAAGCTTTTACTAGTAAAAGTACAAGTAGTTCAGATTCAGAAAGGGCTACCAAACACGATATAGGTGAGCAGGGATACAAAGTTGTGTTTGTTACATCAGATTGATTTTGTATGTACCTTGTTTCTTAACACTATACTAATAGACTTAGCCTTTCACCAACATTCCAGTCAAAGTTCTTAATATTTTCAGAACAGGGGTTGTCACTATTTTTTCCAAGTGGAAAAAGACCCAACAAGCTTGTTAATATAAGCTTGTAATATAAGCTGCACAGTTAAAACCAAACCAAAAATCATGTTCCATTTTAAAAAATACCAGCATTGGTACTTATAACAAAGCCAAAGGAGCAGTTTCTGTTTCTTTGCTAAGACTTCCTTCACTGTTTAATGCAATACCTGATTTTCTGTGCCTTTGCTTTATTCCACTAACATTTATCTCATTTGTCTGCATTTTTCCATTTAGATACCTTCTCCTGTGAAATCTTCTGCCAAACTTCACGTACCCCCTGGCTATCTTCCAAACCCCCTTCAAGGCCTTTCTTTGCTGCACTGCCTACAAATCACTGTCACCTGGCAGTCTTGAGGCTGGAGGCCATCTGTGACCATGGTGACTTCTGATTTATGTGAGCACACCCTTCTTAATTGTTATTCATGCCACCTTCTTTCATACATTTTTCCCTTAGTCACTCAATTTCTTGTCTTGGGAATATGGAGTGCAAGGACTTTGGGGTGGGAGATGCCTAGAATAATGAATAGAAGGTGCAAAATAGATGTAGCACTTTGTGAAAAATATGTCAGGAGATAATAAAATGTTTGAAGTGCATATTTGTCTAAAAAGATTGTATCAAATTAATTTTGGAGGAGGATGTGTCTACCAAAATTCATAGGCCAGAATCAATGATTCTGCCACAGACTGGAAGGTTTTTGGTGACTTAAATATCTCATAAACTTGAGGCCATAACAGGCTGCCATCTAACTCAGAGTAACATTGAATCTTTTCTGAATTTTCATGTGTTTCACAGGTCTCAGGATGCACCAGAGCTTTGGCATTTGTGGAATATATCTTCTTTCATACATGGTTAAACCCCCAGCACTGGTGACAGAGACCAGGGCGTGGTACAACAGAGAATTTTCTTGTGGATCTATCACATGTGGGGGACTCCTCTGCCCCAGAGACTTTTCAAGGGACACACTAGGAAAGCTTTTTGTCTGCCATGTGTCTCTGGAAAGAGACCAACTGTTTACCCTTTTATAAAACCATATCAAGGCAAGATAGGAAAAGACCTAAGTGGAAAACATATACATTTGTGCAATGAAAACTGTGCAAAATCTGTGCCAAAAAAACAAGAAGAGACATTGTTTGGGAAAACCTGTATCAAGTGATCATGAAATTAATTTAGTGGTAGTTCAAGCATTTTAGAGGAACATGATATATTCAACAACAGGGGCCCAATCCTGGCTGGGCTGAAACAATAATAATGCTGAAGTAGTTACAACAGAATTCATGAAAGTGAAGGTAATTTCTTCTCCACATCCATGGATGATATGTAATGTCTACATTGCTCCTATCCTGCCTCTGTACATTTTCACATGCCCTAGCAACAATCTGAGATGACTTTGGAGAAAGCTGGCTTATCTGTGCACAGAGCTGTGCTGCAGAATCACCATAACCTTTTTGATTTATTTTTCAAAGCTCTTCTGCATGGTTTCTGTCTTGATTTTCTTATCAACTTGATTTAGTACAAATCTCTGGGGTGCATTATATGAAACTGGTGTTGCTGTTGTTGAGGTAGACTCAAGCAAAGAGTTTCTGTTTATGGAACTGTTTTATCTTAATTAATAATGTCAAACTTCTGAAGAAAAATCTCTTGTAGCAATCTAAAGCTGACTTTGTAGAGCAATCTCTTCGCTCTTCTCTGTAGTCTTAATTTTTCTCTATGCCTTGCTTCCCCTGATGAACTGTTTTTGCTTTGAGACTTGGCTGATTAATAGCTCCATGTCAGTGCTCTAATTTGAGCCTCATTTGCTAGAAAGGTGCTGAGCACATTCATTGAGTCAGTGGGAGGGGCTGGTATTCAGCACTTTTACAAACCAGGACACTTACTTCAATGCCTCAGTATGGGTTCAGGAGCCTGATTTAGGCTCCTATTTTTATTAACCAGAGTAATGGCATCCAAATATATTAACTGGTGTGTTCTTTGAATAACTGCAGCTAGTTTTTAAAATAACCCTATGAAGTGACTTAACCAGTTTTTAATGGGAGTTGAGTATCCAGTGCCCTGAGCTTTTCTGAGAATCCTGACTTGTCCCTTTTCTTCAGCATAACTCTGGGCTAGAAGGTATTTCTTTCTTCTGTGTATTGTCTTTGCTAAATATGTATTTGGTTCTTCTGCTTGCTTGAAACTGCCATGCCAGTGCAACTGGGACATGGTGAATGCCCTAAAACGTGAGGACAGTCAAGAATGCATAGATTACTATAACTTTGATTTGAATATATGAGTCTGCAGAATGTGTTGGGGCTCTAAAGGGTGAACAAGGAAGTAACAATGAGTGTCCCTGTTCAGCATTTCTCCAAAAGGTCCTGTGAGTCTTTGGTCCTACTGAATTTCTCATTGTATAAATTGACTCAATGAACATGTCAGATCCTGAAACCTAGCAGACTTTTGCAGGTGGTATTTGAAGTGAGCTGCAAAACAAGACAGCCTTTGATGGGTGTATGAATTTGTATAAATGTATGAGGAATTGTTCACATAAATCCCTCTGCTGTCACAGTGATTTATTACATGTGCAAAGCTCATGACATCCAAATGGAACTGTAGCTGTGCTGCCTAACAGCTGGACCTGGAATAAATTAATGCAGTATCATAATTCAGTAAAGGAGCTCTGCTCATGTCACAGAACCAAAGAGCAGCATATGAGTGTTTTATCAGCCTAGCAGTGACCTGAGAATATATTTACACAAGTATGTAGCATGTATTGCTCTTCTATTCATTATCCTGTGCATTAAGACATTATTTCTGTGGTATCATACTCAGATTTAACCAGAGGAGCCAAAGATGTAAAACACATACAGCTAATTGAAAACGTTAATAGAAAAACCCCCTAGAAAACAGCTCTTACTTTGACCATTTCCTTTGACTTTTATATTCTTCCCTATCTAAATTGATCAATGCACATGGTCAGATGAATGACAGTCTCCTTCGCAGCTAAGCATTAGGAAACCTGCTCATGGTGAATGAAATACACTCAAAGTCAAATTGAATGCCTCAAATCCTGGAACTGGATAGCCTAATCCTTCTTATGACAGCCAGTAGCAGAGATGAAGTGGTGTAGGCTGTGATGTATTGAGAACTTTACCTGTAATATATATTACTCATAGACATTGCTGTATAGAGATTTTTCTAGCAGAAAAAAATGTGGAAGTGTTATGTGAAAGCTTGCTTGCTTGTTTCAGGTTTGTTGAAGTTTTGCTCCTTAAGAAGGTAGCCTGCTTCAGAGGGGTTTATGATTCCATCTCTCCTGAGGCTCATCAGTGCATTGCATGAGTGTCTGAATGGTGCTTTGTGGCCCCATGATAGGAAATTGAGGAATCAGCAGGAAATTACCCAGTGCTTCATACTTGGTCTGGTCCAACATAGATCATAATCTGATCTCCATTGAAGAGGAGGTATTTTGAGAATATTCACTCTGTTTCTCTGTTTTGAATATTCATGCTTCCTCTGTTTTGAGGAAGCCCAGAGACAGGCCAGCAGCACTCAGTGGTCCCTAGAGTAGAGGCCTTAGGATTGATTGCTGCTTTGCAGTTCGCATGTTTTTTTTCTCTAGACTTGAGGTGGCTGTGTGGGATGGTAGTGCCATAGGGCTGGGCTGTATTGCACTATTAGCAGCATGGCAAGTAAACCCAGCAGTTATGAAATCTCATCTTTTCCCCCTTTAATATGCGCAGATAAAAATGATATCTGTCAAGAAATGAAAAAGGAGCATGGCAGGAAGAAAAATACCATGGTCAAGGCAACTTGAAGACTCCTGATCCCCCAGTGTTTGGCCTAAGCTATTGTATTCTTTTGTCCCATATTTTCCTTATAAGGCTGCTGGCCTTGAGCAAGTTCAGATCCTTCTAGCCTGACCCTGGAGAAAGAGACTCAAGTATCAACACAAAAGTAATCCTGAATTCTATGTGTCTTGTCAGCTATGACATTCATATCACAGCAGATATTTCTGTGTGCAGCTCTCTGGTCTTGTGCATATATTTCACATACAATCTGTAGGTATTTGTAGGTACTGATGAAACATGCAATCTGCAAAGTAACAACAGAGAACTCTATAGGTTAATATAAGGGACACCATTTTTCTTGTTCTCCCCTTGATTTCTATCAACTGTTTAATGCTGTCTCTAACAGTCCAGTAGCCCTGCTGCCTGCTTCAGAACTGCCAGGAACCTGGTGCTTATATTATGATATTTCCAGATATTCTTCATTTTTATTGTGGTATAAATCCTGATTCATAATGTGTCCGCCTAATTTGTTTTCTCTTGCTTCTAGGTGTAGGCATAATCTCTTCATTTGCTCTTACAGTTGGTTATGAATTCATTATCAAATTCAAGGGATGCTTTGTTCTCCTCCATTCTGTGCCCCTTTCAAAGTCTCCCCCACAACTTATTTATTTACTTCTTAGCCCCTATTAATCATTGCCATATGTGCCTCACTTTGCAGAGATACTCAGGGCCACTCATGGCTGTTGAACAAATGTAGAAGACACACATGAGTTGCTGGTCATACTCTACATAGAGAACAGACCACACACAGACACAAGATCCAGAGACTGAGAACTCAAAGGCACACGTTAAATTAATATGGACCAGGTTTTTACAGCCAGAGAGAGAGAGGGGGAAACCCTGACTTCTGTTTTTGCACAGAAACTGATTACATGGTGAGTATTTTAAAGGTCAGGTTTCTGTTGATAATACATCCCTAGGAATTTATTTTAATACGTATCCAGTTTGAGGTTAAGCCCATGAGTTTAATTGGAGTTCATGAGACAGAGAGATTTGGTCTATTGTTCATTAAATAAAATATGCTTCATTTAGATGATATAAATCTATTTGAACATTCCAGGACGTGTAGTTGCTTTGAGCTGTTCAGCTGGTTCCAGCATCCAAGTTGCTTATTTCCATGGTTCCTGAAGGTATGTGTCTGGCTGCTGCAGCAAAGATGGAGCAACAACAATAAGATGCAGAGAAGCATGCTGGTGTAGCTATAAAGGAAATATTTTTTCACACAGCATTAGTTTATAATAATTAGGGAGTAGAGCCTACTGTTGATGAATGTCAGTGAGATTAAGGGCTTAGCAAGATTTGAAGTGACACTGGGTCTTTATACTACTATGATTGCTCTGCCCAAGCACAATAAAGACAAATAACCCAGAACTTATGAAAAGTTCTCGAGTTCATGATGAAGCCTGAAGATCACAACAGTTTTAGTATGTCAGCTAGTAAAGATACTAAAACCTAAAATTTCTGCTAGATCTTTGCATGGTGCAGATGGTAGTTTGCCTAAAATCTGAGTCCTGATGTCTCAGTACTATTTATCTTGTTAACACATCCCAGTTGCTTTTTATTTTTATGCACTTATATTCCTGTCTGAGGATTCCTGAAAGCTAAAACAACGAATTGCAGTGGAATAAGTTTCTGTAAAAATTCTGGAGTTGTGTAGCTTTTTTTTGCCAAGGTGATGCTTTTGCACTGCAATTTCTTCTATGAACTTTTGAAGATTTATCTCATAAAACCCAATGTAGCATGATTTCTGTCATTGACATTTCTTCTTCTAGGCCATTACCATCTAGTCTAGTAATTTGTTTATATGGAAAGGGTATTCAAATTAACATCTGACATTTTCTGCAAACCACATAGAATTTCTCTTTCTGACTGTGCTTCAGCAGTCCTTATTGCACTGTTGTCTTGCCACAGACTGTATTTGCATGGAATGCAGAGGGATACATGTGATTGCATGGGGTACAGAGGCATGGGATGACTATTCTGATGTACCCTCATGAAGGGATGTGTGTCTCTATTATTTTGAAGTATTAGAAAGCTATTGGTAGTCTTGCCATACCATATGAAGTTAATTTTCCATAGCCATCAAACACCTTTCACAGACTCAAGTTGCAATGAAGTAATAGAGAAATGGCAGCTGACATGTAGGCAAATTAAATGCCCACTGGAAGGCAGAGCAATTTCTTTAATCTGTGCAGCTTCAAGCATCACCAGATGATGATGCTATAAAGTATAGTGGTTTTCACATAACGCATTGTGTGGCATGGGGACAAGAGTATACGTATGTACGTGCATATATACATGGGTTTTCAAACAAGAATGTACCTGGCAGGATTACAGATGTACACACCTTGGACTGATTTTTTCTGACTATCAAAATTGCTAGTGAATGTGTCCTTAAATCAATCACAGTGAAGTTCTTGTTGGAAGAAAAACACAGAGTACACTTGTATGCATTGTGATAAAATGGCATATGGCAATGTCCTTAATATGGTTGCTGCAGCCAATAAAGCTGGAATGGTCTCGATGCACTATCCAAATTTATTTATTAAGGTCAAGATGTATGACTGATAGTTTTAAGGCTTATTACATTTGCATATATTCCCTTAGTTAATATGCAGAAGAGGAAAATCTGTTCCCAAGCTTCTGAGTAATAATGGCAGTCAGACTGAGTTGGCACAGGAGATTAATTATTGCAGTCCAGTATCTAAATCAGTACTCCCAGGCTTTGCCCTGTAGGTTCCCACT